CGTACTTTTTGACCGTAACATATATATGGTGGTTGGCTGCATCCGAATCGGGTCCCAGATCCGAGTGGTTATTGATAGATAGTACGCACTAATTGAGTGCTTATGAGTATACCTATTATACCTATAATCACACCTACTTAACTATACTATAGGCTTGCGGCAAGTTACTAACTATGTTGTGTCCAAATGTGTATAAGCAATAAAAAAAATTTGCCCCATTCATTTTTACAGGCTTAGCGGGGTGGGTGGCGAAAAGATCAGTTTTAATGGCGTGTAAAAAAAAAAAAAAATTGAATTGCATAAAATATTTGTATTTTATTGATAACTGTGGTTACCAAATAAATTATCCCATATCTTATTTGATTACAATGATTTCTGATTACATTATCCATTGTCAATTATTTATAATATTAATGATAATTGAATATTTGAAAAAAATATTCGAACCGCAATTTATATTATAATATTTGTTTGATCTTTCTGTGATGGCTCCAAAAAGGTTAAGGCAGAAAAACTTTACCGTACGAGAAAAAGCGGCATTAATGAAATTTGAAAATTTCACATAAGGACATATAAGTCCTTAAGTTGACCAGTCAAACGAATTCCTTAATACTTTCAATTAACTTGATTATGAACTACAATATGGTAGGCAAGGTAAAAATTAAGGCTGATAAGAAATTATAATTCTTATCAGCATAATATATTAACGAATCTGTAAAAGGTACAGACACAAAGTCAGTAGCAACCCAAGCCATAACCAATTTTTTTTTTTTTTTAACGGGTCCGTGATGAGTTAAAAGCTATCTGTGAATTGCTAATGCAATTCAGCTTTAGGGCTGTCAGTGATTTGTAGTTTGAAATTAAAAAAATAATGAGTTTCGCCAAATGAAATCCTTACATGTAAAAAGGTATGTGGCTCTGGCTTTTTTCGAAGAAAAAAAATTGTTTTCGCCCGCTCTCGTCAACCCCCCCCCCCTTCCCTTTGACGTCGGCTGATTGGCGCCCCAGGCTGCAGCGTACTCAGCCTATTGGTCAATCGGGCCCCGTTTATTATCATATTATTAATATTTTCATCGCCGATTTTTACACGTTTATTTTCACCGAGTTCGTGACATTACAGAGCCGCACATGACGCGTACCTGTATAATAATTATAATAATAATAATAATAATAATAATAATAATAATAATAACAATATTATAACACATTAAATATTATAATAAATAGGCGTCCGACGCACGCCACGATAACATAGTATAATTCGTATGTATGGGTACCGAAAAAAAAAAAAAAAAAAAA